GGCTACGGCGTCAGCTCGGGCAAGCCCTCGGAGAAGAACCTCTACGCCGACATCGACGCCGCGTGGCAGGCGCTGCGCACCCGGTGAGCCCCGCGCGCGGTCTCCCAGGCTGGCCTGCAGCCGTGGGGAGGAGGGGACCGCTCGTCTGGGGAGAGGGGCCCAGGCCCCGGGGCTGTGGGCGAGCGGAGAGCCCCCGGGCGCGCTGGGTTGGATCCTCTTCCCCGTCCCTGGCCTTTTCCCACTCCCTCGGCCAGCCCCACCGGCCCTGAGGGCAGGTTCCCGGCAAGCTCAGGCTCAGAGGTCCCCCCTCCCCCCACTTTGGCGTTCCCGGTGCTTCATCCTCCTGGGTCTTTTGTGGCTCAGCTCACCCCAAGTGGCTTCGGGGGGAAGCTTAGGGCCCGGGCCGAAAGAAACTCTGGTTGGCGTTGAGCTTGTATGAGCTGGCAGCCCGAAGCTGAAGTGACCTTGGGCACTTAAGTCACTAGACCTCTGGTTCCTTTCCCAGTAAAACGAGGGGCCGTGCTGGGCTGGAATGACCTCCAAAAGGACTTGGTGGCTGAACAGGCTTCGCGGGCCAGTGTCTGGCAGCCTCGGAGGCTGCTGGAAGGTTGCGTGGTACGAGGAGGAGTTTGCCCCCCTCCTGGGGGAGAGTAGCTGGCACTGGATGGGCAGGAAGTTTGCTGGGAGCTGTCGGCCTGGCACCTTCCACAGAGGCTTAGTAACAGCCCAGGGGGAGTTTGGATCTAAAGGGTTTGAGGAGGCTCGTGACCTTGAATTGGCACTCACAGAAAGACTGGGAAGATATTTATGGAGGACGGCGCGCGCGCGTGCGTTCCAGGCACAGATCGGGGCATGGTTTAGGGGCATAAATGCAAGCCAAAAGCTTGGGTTTTATTCTTATCTTGAACAAAAGTTTGGCAAGTGGGCCAGTCTGGTGGGTCACCTGTTATCTTTGATGTCTGTGATCTGCGCCCCTGCTTCACAGCAGTGATGGTGACGGGACCTGAAGCCCTGTCCTTAAGGAGGATTGATTTCCTCGCAGGAAAGGGTCCCCAGAACACAGGGAGGGCTGCTGCTGCCATGGGCTGGAGGAAAGATTTTATCTGCTGTGTTTACTTGGCTTATGCTGATCTCCAACATTAATGATTTTGTTCCATTCGTGTTTATAGAGATACTGATAAAGTACCTCTTGCCTGTGTGGGAAATAACTTGTCCAACAAGGAAGTACTTAATCACACGCGTTGCCTATCCATGCCCTCATTTGAAATGTAGCCATTGGAAAATGGCTTAGGCAGACGAGTATGATATGCGAGTTACTGAGTCGGAATCTACAAGTGGCTAAAAAGTTTCCTGTTCCAGTATAGGTTTCCAATAGTACGTTATGCACCTTCAATAACTCAAAAAACCCCAAACCCATGGCCATTGGGTTGATACTGACTCATAGCGGCCCTATAGGACAGGGTAGAACTGCCCTTGTAAGTTTCTGAGGCTCTAACTCTTTATGGGAGTAGAAAGCCCTGTCTTTCTTCTTTGGAGCCACTGGTAGTTTTGAACTGCTGACCTTGCAATTAGCAGCCCAGCATGTAACCACCACACCACTAAAATTTGCTGTGGAACTACGAGTCGGCATTCAGTGTTTTCAAATGGAACCTTGAGGAGGTTTCTTTAAAAAATTTCCATAGAATACTCTTTCTATGTGTGGGTGTCTGCATTAAAATGAAGGCCTTCAGGTATAAGGCTCACCCTTGGCCCTGAATCTGAGAGTGTGTCTGTGTGACAACATGTGTGAGGTACACGTAGTTCCTGGGGACTGATCATAATTAGTTGTATATGACAGTGTTCTGGATAATGTGAAGGTGTGCATTATCAGGTGGTTTGTCTCCATCATGCCCTGACTCGTTTAACATTATTCCAGAACTCATATCCAAATTGATTATCCACCTGCAATATAGGTTAAAGTGTAAAGACTGAAGGGTAGTCTTAGAATTGCAAGAAACCGTAGAAATCTCTTTGCTCAGTGCTTTTCAAACTCGGCTCTGCTCCTCAGTTGGAAGAGTCTTGACCAAGCACACCCCCCAAAGCTACGTCTCCGGAACAGAAGCAATTGCTTCACAACAGTATTTGTTCCATAAGCAGAGTGCATATGGAACTGTGTTCTGTCTTAGTGCTTATAGAAGAAGAAAACGAAGGCTGGTTGTGGACCACTAATTGCATTTCCTCACCCATTTGTGGGCACCTGCAACTTCATTTGACGGAGGAAGATAATTAATTGCCTGGTGAATAGGCAGTAGGTCTCCTAACTTCTAGTTCAGAGTGTTCTTTCCACTACACCATGGAGTCCTGTTTCTCAGATTTCTCAAGAGTTACACATTGACATGTCCCCGTTATTCCCATGAGATAGAAGTTATCTGATTCTGGAGTTCATCAGTCCCTCAGCACCTCCCAAGGACCCCCATAGTGTTTCCTTGGCTGTAACCTCGACTAAAGCAGTTCACCAGGCCTTTCCTCTGCATGCCAGATCAGTTCAGTGCCTTTGAACCTCCAGCCTTTCAGTGAGCAGCCGAGTGCTTAACTGTTTGTGCCACCAGGGCTCCATTTGCACATGCGGTAATTGGTGACCCGTACATAAATGGGGTAATTTCTGTTTTCTTGAAGTTGGATTCTTATGAGTCCTTAGATGTCCTTTGACTTCCACAAGTCGAATGTACAGTACTGACTGATAGCGACCCTATAGGACAGTCTAGGATTGCCCTGTGAGTTTCCAAGAGTGTAACTGTTAACGGGAGTAAAAAGCCCTGTCTTTCAGAGCGGGTGGTGGTTTCAAACTGTGGACTTTGTGGATTGCAGCCTAACATGTAACACCCCTGTGCTGCCAGGGCTCTTCCCGGTCTGACTAGACAAGGAAGGGGCTAAGGTGTATCAGCTCGAGGTCTGGTTCACTCACTTTGCATCCATTCTGTGGATGCTCCTGTGACATTCAAGTGCCATTATTGATCAGAGGGGAAATGCCCTTCCCTCGGCATTTCTCTGGGCTCTTTATCCCTTACCTTTCTGTGTCCGCTTTTGCGGTGACTATCTAGGGAGCCCTTGGATGAGGGCTTCAAGGACCAGTACTCACAAGTGTGCAGACACCGAGTAACAGAGAAGAGCTGACTTTTCAGGACTAACACTACCAAGCCTTTCTTCTGAGGCAGCCGTTCTCAAATTGCTGTTGAATGACCCTTTCACAGGGGTCACCTGATTCATAACAGTAGCAAAATTACAGTTATGAAATAGCAACAAAATAATTTTATGACTGGGGAGTCACCACTACATGAGGAACTGTAAGGGCGGCAGCATTAGGAAGGTTAAGAACCACTGTTCTAAGGCACCTCTGTGTGAACTTGAGCCACCAGCCTTTTGGAAGGCAGCTAAGGCCTTAACTGTGCTACCCAAGGACCCCATGCCCGGCATTCAATCCCTCCAAATGATGAACATCACGGTTAGCAACGAATCTCAGCCCAGGGTTTGGGGAGGAAGTAAGTGTAGAGGCTATGAAGGTGGTTCCTGCTCTTTGGACAACAGATGGCTATGTGAAGCACGAAGACTTGTAGCAGAGAGGGAGAATTTGTAAATGTCAGAAAGACCATGGACGTAGTGTCAAAGGAGCTTAAGTTGGTAGGGAAACGGTGCAAAGAGGCCCTCGAGAATTTAACCAATGAGGAGACCGAGGGATAGGATGCATTCACATGCCCGCGAGTGAGCGAGGTGCTTTTGAAATAAATTGTGAACAAAAGCCACCGAGGAATGAGTTGGAATCACTTCAGAACACTTGAGGGGAGGACACGTGGAAGTGAGGATGGCTGGGTTCTTGTAACGTGAGCTTGGAAGTGAGTTTGCCCGGAAAGGCTGTCTGATGGGTAAGTGTGAGCAGGTAGCTTCAGACTCCTCGGCTAACATCCCACAAGCGGGCCGCTGTAACAAAGTCCCACAGCTTAGGTGGCTAAAAACAACAAACGTGTATTCTCTCAGAGTTCAGGAAGCCAGAAAGCTGAAGCCAAGGCGCCTGCAGGGCAAACATGCTCTCTCTGGAAAATGCTTCCTCCTTCCCCAGTCCCATTCCCGTCTCTACCTCCATCATCGCACCGTGTCCCCATCTTTGTCTCAGAGCCTCTTCTCTTTTGCTAAAGATGACTGCCATGCTGGCTTCCAGCTCACCCTGACTGACCTCCTCTTAATTTGATTAGATCTGCGAAGACCCTATTTCTAAATCAGGTCAAACACTCACTGGCACCGGGGTTAAGAATGTCTTTTTGTTGGACACTTGCCCCGCCCTCACTCCCGGGTGCCGCCAGGTTTAGATTGTGCAGAAGTGGAGGCAGAACAGAAGAGAACTCCCCAGGGGGTTGGGAAGTCCAAACCCAAAGCAGCACATCACCACTGGGGGCTGAGGCTCCAGAGAGCCAGAATGTTCCAGGTGAAAGTTTTTCATCTGGCCAGGCAGGAGCATGGGGCGTTTTGTGACTCGGTTGGGCAGCAGCGTTTACAGATGCTGTCCACAGTCATTCGATCGAGCCTTCTGCTTGATGAGTGACAAAGGCTTTGGAGGAGGAAGATGCTTCAAAACAGGAGAAGCATTGGCCCCGTCAGAGAAAGCGGCTGCAGAGAGGAGGACCAACAGGCTTCCAGTGCCTAGATGTGCCGGAGCAAATGGCGGCAACACGACGGACAGACGTAAGACAGACGGGTACTCCCTTCCCCAACGATTAGACACCCTTCGGCTGGGCTTCTGCCAGGCACTGTGCTAGCTACCCTTTGTTAATCCCCGACTGACTTTTCTTCATCCCAAAACAATGGGATTGGTTTTCCAGGTGTTTTGGATTGATAATCACGTCTCACTGTTTTAGGCCACCGGAAGCAGGGGCCCTGGTGCCACTCTGGGTTAGGTGGGTTGGACTGCTAACGGAAAGCTTGGTGGTTTGAACCCACTAGCCGCTTTGAGGGAGAAAGGCGAGGCTGTCTCTTCCTGTGAAGATAGAGAAACGACTCTGTCCTCTAGGGTCACTGTGAGTTGGAATTGACTCCGTGGTGGTGAATTTGGTTT